GTGCATCCATTTTAAATGCTGTAAATGCACCGTCGTTTAAATAAGAATCAATCACAAAAATAGAACGTTTTCTCGACATTAAAAGCCATAAAATTCATCTGTTAGCCCTTTGGGCCCTTTCACAGACCCGCATGACAGATTTCCCTGCCCTTTCGTATAGCTCAACAGTAAAGTCCCTACCCTTTTATATACCTGAAGCCTGAAAAAGATAGCCCTTTCGGGCGGAGCCTCACCGTATAAGTCATTATAAGGAGTACCCTCCCCCCCCGGGTAATGGATATTCTGTTTCTGGTGAGAAGGTCTTCCACCCTTAAGTTTGAGTTGTAAAGAAAGTGTAAAGCTTACCTGTTCGCATGATTTTTCTTTACTATGACATTCAACCAATGGACAGATTCTGCGGAGCGATGAACACCGCTGCTCACAACTGTTCTTGGTTCTGCATTTCATTCTGCACTTTCCGCCTGTACAGGACTGAATGCAATCGTCTGTGGTACAAGTCATTGGACATTCGCCATCGTCACAGTTTTGAACACATGAACGCTTAGCACTGCAGAATGTTGGGCAGCTGCCTTCCCAGCATGACTATAACGTTGGGTAAACAATATAGGGTCATTGCAGTATAAATAGAGGAAGGAGTTGGGGGAGTTGGTAGGTTACAGTAAGGAGGCAGGGGACTAGATTTCTTGAGCACATTTTCTCTTTCTATATATATCTGCACTCCGGTCACAGGTTAGATGAAACTATCAGATAGTTTCTCGCAAAGTAGAAGGGAAAGAGGAGAGATGAAGGGAAAGGAGGAGAAGGAAGAAATTAGGAGGATCGAAGATGAGGTAGGAGAAAAGGGATGTTGCGGAAACCATTTCTGGTTTGCTTTTGTGTTGTGGTGTAGGTACTGCTCAGTGTCTTTTCAATATTGTGTATAGGTTAATTGGTGATTAAGCTCGTTCGCAACACCAAGAGACCACCGAGAAAACGGATTAGGGATCATCCTTGTCCTTCCTGTCTCTGCGCTCCTGTCACAGGTCAGATAATGGTCTCCTGGCTGATATAAATGGCAAAAGGAGGAGAATGGGAAAAAAGTACACTTCCCCTCTCTGCCTCTACTTTTGCCAACATAAGCAAACACTCATTAGAAACACTCCTCAGCTTGGTCGATATGGAAGTGCGCATGCGTAAGATACTTGTCCGACCGCCGCTTAAACCTTGGCTTGGTGTTCGAGTGTCACCTGCCATAATTTTTGTCTAATCCAAATCAATGTCTTAGGGCCCTTTGTGTGTTCTGTCCCGTTGATGAAATAACCACTTCACGGTTTCCTTTCCTCAACACATGCTGTGCACAAGTCTGAGTAAAAAGTCACTTTATTATCCAGAGCCTGACGTTTCTTTTGAGAAAACAGCTTATTTTGTGACTCGCAGGGGTCAATGCCGGTTGTGAGTCAAGTCATTAGGTAAGCTGGGGTTATGGTTTGAGGTTAGGGTTACTGGGTAAGGTTAGGACCAGGTTGGGACTGGGTAACTAAAGACTCATTGACTAATTTACACCTCATGTCTTGTTTCTTTTGATCGCGTGGTCAACAAAGCGACGTTTTAGCAAAAACCCAATAGCCCTGGCGCAAAAAAATGAGGCGTCGTCTTTTTTTGAAAGACACATCATTTTCTCACTATTTTATACTAAAGTGCTCCCATACTCACCTGTTTACATCTCTCACTAGTTTTGGCACATTTTAGGTGACACGATCCTGCATTACACCGCTGTTTACAGCGGGTAGTCGCTCTGCAACTCATGTTGCACATTCCCTCATCACAGCGTTGAGTGCAATTGGCTGTTTTGCAAAATACTGATCCACAAGTTAGCAGCGATTCACAGTCCTGGTGACAGGTCTCCTTGGTAACGCATTTCAAATCGCACGGCCTATGAACTAGGCATTTTTGTTCACATGACTTAAGTTGAGGATCAGCTTGTCCGCACGACACTTTGCAGTCTTCATAGCACTCTTGTCTACAAGAGGCCTTCGGTGATGAATCTTGACATTTATAGACCGTATTTCTTGCCTTTATTAACGTCACCATACTAAGAAATAATGATACATTTAGCAGCGACTCTTGAAACCGTGTCATATTTTCAGGTGTTTATCTAGAAAAAGAAAAGTATATAATATATTTTAATTTATGGTGAATTCTAATAAGTCCTCTACTGAGGAATAGAAACTTCACAGAAACAATATTCTGCCTACACTCATGTGTCACAAGTCTGTTCGGTGAACATAATTTTGCTTTAAAAAAAAGGAACAGCAGTTTTTGGCAGGAAAAGTGTGACCAGTTGTTGTAACAAATATAAATTGAATTCTTATTGACATTTTGAAGACAACCTTTAATAATTGAACATAATTGCCAACGAGCAGCCTCGACAAGACAAAACGCGAGGCTGCGAGGCGGCAGCCTGATAAACCGTGGGCGAAAGTTCCAAGGAGAATGAATCCCGAATCGATGTAACGTATAAGGTAGTGTAAGGTAACCTTTATGACGTAATGCAGAACAGAGAATGCATTGTTTACTAACGAACACGTGATATAGAACAGAATCCACGAGCCGCGTGTGTATTTGTGAGTGCCCTGCTCATCCCGTCTTCAACCAATCGTCGGATGGATTCATTTGCATCATACGCGTAGAGCTGTCGCATTTGCCCGCTGGGATATTTTAATTCCTGCCACTAAGAGAAAATAATAACGCCTTGTGTCTTTGAAGCAAAATAATTTGGAAAGCTTCATCGGCGCCCCATTTATCTTTTTATTTCCTGAAAAGTAGACTTCCTGAGCTTTAAAAAGAGACAAAATATAAATCCGTATGTTGAATATTCGCAGTTGATTTTTCGAGGATATTAAGTTTGCTTATAAGATCAGTAAAGTTTACGCAAAATGACCTGTGCGCAACTTCGCAAGGATTGGCAGAAGCTAAAAGAGGTCAGCAGAGAGATAAAGGGATCGGACGCAAACCAAAGGGTAAAAATACGATGAAAGAAAAAAAACTGGAAGTAACCTGCCGGTATTTATCATGAATTCAAAGATAGATCGTTTTCATATGACGTCACGGCGGCCATGTTGGTGTTCCAAAACAATGAAACGGCGGCCATATTAATGTTCCAAACAAATCGGGTTGGAATTGGACTCTTTTCTTATGTAAAAAATTTTCTTTGTTCCCATAAATTTGGGACTTTCGGGACTTTCAAGAAAAGGGGCCCCTGGTCGGTGGCCGTGTTGCCTGCAAACCCAAAACGCACGATGACATCATGCTGAATAGCGTCTTTAGGATTTGTTTATGGCTTGTTGCTTGGCAACTGCGGATGCCAAACCGATGGAATGATTTATGACCAAAGCGAAATCGCACTCCGCTTGCATTCCTCGCGAGATCAACCCCGCGCGACAAAATTATAAACTCGCTTAGCTCGCGCGAGAATAACCCTATGCAGCTTTAAAATAATGAAAAGAAAATGAATTAAATAAAATAATTTAGACGTTTAACCAGTATTCCCTAACCCTGTAGAAAACCAATTCGGTAGACTAATAGGCGTACGTGCCACAAAAACATGTAGTTTTTTCTTTGCTTCTTTTGACGACGCAAAAACATTGTCAAACCTTCTCATAATGGTGCTAAAATTTCAACAGATGTTTATAATTGTCCTTTTTATTCCTTTCTTTTTTTCGGGAGAATCTCCTCTTTAACTTAGCAGTTCTGCATTAATTAAAAGTTGTTAGTTGAACAGTTGTACTTCACCTGCCTAAGCCACCACCGCGGTCAAACGTCTAAATCGTTATTTTTGTTTTGTATTGCTGGGATTTCATTTACCAGTTAGAGAAAAATGGGCAGAGATGTATAAATCAGTTAGTCAACATAACTATCTTTCCATTTTTCGCAAAATTTTGAGCTTTTTTCGCTGAAAACGCTTCGCGCTATAAGTGAATCATGTTTGAAAATGGCGCCGATAATAACGTCAGCATCGGTTTTCAATCACTTAGAACTTTTTTAGTAAACTTTTAAAAAGTTTAGTAAACTAACAGGATGTTGGTAATACCCTAAACTTTCTATAGTGAAAGTAGCAACCTTAACTTTGAAGTATTTCGCTTAACTTTTGCAAATTTCACTCGTTTGACCGCTGTGAAGCCTAAGCCCCCCAATAAAGATTCCAATGGTCCGTCCCTGAGTTTTATTTACCGCCCACCTTTAACAATATCTGGCCTATGCTGTCACATTTCGCAGTCATGCCAGACTTAATCCTCAGTTAAGTACGCCAACGGCAGTCGTGGTGATTTTTTATTCGCGAGTGTTCCACGAACCTCTAACTCTTAACATCTTCAACCAAAAGCACATTTTTGCGCCCTATGCCTGTACAAAAGAACATTTTATGAGTCGTTTAAGAGCTTTTCGGTAATTATTGCTAAACATGAAACAGATAACTGGGTTGATAGCACAGTACGCGTTAGCCATACAAATGGTGACTTCATCGTAAATCCAGAAACTACACGATAAATGCGTGAGAGTGTCCTGATACTCTATGATTAACGTGTTGATAGAGTAAGGTAACCAGCAAAGCACAAACACTGTTACGATAGCAATGGACATTTGAAGCACGTTTCGGTTTCTTTTGTCCCGCTGTTGCTGAGTGTTCGCGGACTGTTCACCTGGGTGTGCCTGTGTCTTGAGCTTGATAACAATGATGGAGTAAAGAATGACTAGCAACAGCACAGGTACGTATATAAACAGACCGTAGAAAGCTAGTGCGAAACTGGCAGAGGATGATGACTCTCCGAGTACTTTCTCCCATTGATTATCACACCAGTTTCCCTCTGGGTATTCAACGAGCTCCTTAGTGAACAAGTATGGGGAACTGACCGCTACGGCAACTATCCATGTAGCGAGGATGAAGAAAGGACACAGTTTGGATCTGATGAGTGGGGAACGGAGTGGAAACACCACGGCTCCAAAGCGATCCACTGCTATCAGAATCAGATTCTGAATCGAAACGACAAAGGAAACGTTACCAAAGAAAGGGACAAGTTTACACAAGGCCTGACCAAGCTGACCACCGATAAGAAACGAGTAATTGGTGTGCAAGTGTGACAGGATCCAGGTATCCAGAATATTGGAAACAGCAAATCAGATGAGGCCATGTTTGCGATGAAACAATTTATCGGTTTTTTTAAGTTCGGCGTTTTGCAAACGAGGATAACAATTAAAGAGTTTGCGACCAGTGAAACGATAAAGATCAGACAGTAGGTAACGGTTCCTCCGATTTTCAACGCAGTAAAATTTAAGCAGCTCAAAGTTCCGCTGGAGCCGTTCGCCGTTGAGTTCATGCTTAGCTTAGCGACGTATCTACAGAGTCGTACACATGCAGTTAAGTAACTTTGAACTGCTACTCTGTATATTTCGTATCCTGTGTGAGTCAGAACTTTTATTGACAATTCTAAGCCCCCGGCGAAGCCACAGCACAGCTGTCCTATGAGGCCTTCAAAAAGTGACTTTGTATTGTGATGTTCCGGCATTATCCGCCGACTGACCTTTTGACAGAAACAGTTTGGTATTAGTATGTTACAAACCAACCAGAAGACTTCATTTAGGTCATGTGGTTGTATTAAGAAATCGATTGAGAAGATGATTAAACAAGTGTATTTTAACACATTAAAAAATGATATCTTTGGTAGTACCATCATCAACTACACAAGTTTGACAGTTAACCACAGGAAGCAGAAGCGAAGCTCCCTTCAGGTCATTAAGCCCAGGCTTAACAGGTGAATGTGAGGAAAAAATAAGTGCATATTATCACGTGTGTATAAAACATGAAGTTTTTATAACATTTACTTCTCGATCGAGCTAAAAATGGGAAAACCAGAAGTCTGGTGTCGGCAAAAAGAAACTAGCAGGTTCTTCTGACAAGGGCTTGTTCAGACTCTTTTGACTGCTCAGTTTTAGTTGTTACAAAATTCGGTACTTGTTGGCTACAGCTCTTTTTTTTCGATAACGTTGTGACACTTCATTTGTATTTAATAAAGATTACTACTTTCAGGGTTCCAAGAGGGGCGTTTAATGACGAGAGTCATTTAAAAGAGAAAGGACTGAGTTTATTGTCATTTATGTAACAACCTACTTTTCAAAACTAATATGCTTTCGGCGAAAATGTAAAGAGAGCTTATGAATAGCGGAATATCCTGTCATCATCAACGCCTAATAAATGATGCGGATGGTTTGTCGCGCATTTTTTAAATTTTGCCTGAGACGGGACAATCTTCAAAGGCGCCGCCGACAAAATTTTCTCCCTGGCAAAAACTAGACAAAATCGATTAAATAGACTAAAATGTGTTTTTCTTGTCAATTATTGTAAAGCCATTATTCTTTCCATTAACAAATGGAAGTGTTGTTAGTTGATGTGCCAATTTGAAAATACGCTTATTCGATCATCAACTGCACTATTTGATAGTTAAATACAGGAAGCACTGAGGGGTGTAGCTGACTTTAAGCCATAAAAGCCCAGGCTAAACAGGAATTTGAGGCAAAACTATAAATGCATGTTATCACGTGTGCATAAAACATGCAGTTTTTATGCATTCACTTCTCGATCGAACTTAAAATAGGAGGTTATAAAAAAATTAACGTTCTTCTTTAAACAAAAAGACAAGGCTTACGTGTCTTTGACAGCTTTTAATTGCTACAACCTTCAGTATTTCTTTACTACAATTCTTGTCTCTCGATAATGTTGTGGCATTTTATCTTAAGAATGACCTGAAAACTTACCCGCGTAACTCATATCAATGCAACCATAACCGTCATGACGCGCTGCTCCCGTGCTAAAAGCGTGACGTAACGTTGATAGAGTACGGCTTGATCTCATATACCGCCGGTTAAACATTTAGGTCAAACGATTTCTACTACAGAACTTTCGCACTCTATTCTGTTCAACAAATGAGCAAACTCGATGTGTCTTTCCTCATGCAACCACCTTTTGCGGCTTACAAGCGCGACGTCAGTTTAAGGAACATGATGGTCTGTTCCACAGACGACGCGTCTTCTGTTCCCGCGCATGTCAGCGGCCTGGATTGAACACCTGCAATTACATCAGTTCTGTCGCTGATACGCGGCACTAAGTCTTTTTTCCATCCGTTACCATTCCTACTTCTTTACATTGGTTAAACTGAGCTGTTCCAGGCTCTCAGATAGTCGGGCGGAAAGACACGCGAAATGTTCGCGGGGCGGAAAAAACGAAAAAGGAATCGCTGCCCCTGCTATACTACAGCGAGCAGATTAATGAATACTAAGCCATTGTGTTTGTCTTATTTAGAAATCGATCCCTGAAAACTGTTATGATACATATCATTTTTCGTTAACATTTCTCTTTATTTTTCAGCTTATTTCCCCCTTGCATGAATATTTATTTTGTACTTCACCCACCCCCCTCCCCCATAACGTTTCTAATGGTCCATCTCAACCTGCGAGCAGAACCTCCTAATTTGTTGAGTGACACCAAGTGACCGAGCGAGCGAATGAACAGCTCTGCTGCTGAGAGGGTGCGGGGTCCATCCCTGAGTTTATTCAGTGGCGGATCCAAGGGAAGGGCCCGGGCGGGCCCGTTCCCCTTTATTTTTAGACCAAACTAAGGCCCGAAGGGTCGAAAAAATTTTTTTTGAGACCTGCCCCTTCCCTCATCTAAGGGTCTGGATGATCACCCCCTCCTTATCTCAAGGTCTGGATCCGCTTGCCGATAATTACTACTAAACATGAAGCAGTTAATCGGGTTGATAGCACAGTAAGCGTGAACCAGAAAGAAGGTTACCTCAAAGTATATCTGGAAGCTACACGAGAAATGGGCAGCACTATCCTGATACGCTATCATTAAATGGTTAGTACTGAAAGGTAACCAGCAAAGCACAAACACTGTTACGATAGCAATGGACATTTGAAGAACGTTTCCGCTTTTTCTTTTCCGCTGTTGCTGATTGTTGGTCGACTGTTCACCTGGGTGTGCCTGTGTCTTGAGCTTGATAAAGATGATGGAGTAAAGAATGACTAACAACAGCACAGGTATGTATGTAAACAGAATGTTGTAAGCTAGAAGCAAACTTGCAAAGGACGAGGATTCTCCGAATACTTTCTTCCATCTCCGTACACACCTGGCTCCCTCCGGGTATTCAACGAGCTCGAAGGCCAACAAATCTGGCGAAATAAAAACTATGGCAAACGTCCACGTGGCAAGAATAAAGAAGGTACACAGCTTGGATCTGATGAGTGGCGAACGGAGTGGAAATAGCACGGCTCCAAATCGATCCACTGCTATCAGAATCAGATTCTGAGTCGACACGACAATGGAAACGTTACTAAAGAAAGGGACAAGCTTACACAAGGCCTGACCAAGCTGACCACCTATAAGAAACGAGTAATTGGTGTGCAAGTTGGATAGGCGCCAAGGTATCAGGAATATTAGATACAGCAAATCAGATGAGGCTATCTTTGCGATAAAATAATTTATCGGTTTTTTTAAGTTTGGCGTTTTACAAACGATGATAACAATGAGAGAATTTGCGACCAGTGAAACGATGATGATCAGACACACTCGATTTTCAACGCAAAGAAATTTAAGGAGTTCCAAGATCCGCTGGATCCGTTCGCCGTTGAATTCATGCTTAACTTGGCGACGTACCTGCGGAATTGTACACATGCAGTCAAGAAACTTTGAATTACTGCTCTGTATATTGCGTATGTTGTTTGAGTCAGAAATTTTATTGACAACTGTAAGCCCCCTGCGAAGCCTCTCAACAGTTTCCCTCTCGGCCATTTCGCTTTCTCCAGTCCTGCCGAGCTTAGACTCGACTTACTGAAGAGGGACTGCTCGCAGTCTAGCACAGTACACGTTAGACAATGATACAGCTATTTCGAGAAAGGCCGTTTCGGAAAAAGTGTACGCGAAAATCCCGAAAAGCATTGTGGGTAATTTTGGGGTCTGACTGTTCTTTAAAGAAATTTGGCAGGCCTTAGACGTATGTTTGCGAGTGCTTAAGGAGAGCAACCAAAGTAGGTTCGACAGCTTCGGTGTCAGGAACAGTGTATTGATCATATCTCATATTACCTTCTCGGGATTGTCGCATACACATATTTTCAGACAACCTTTCTCGAAATAGCTGCATACATGGTAACATCAAAGTACAGCCTGCGTGAACCTGTCATGTAGCTACGGTGAGAAAACGATTGAAAAGAAAATCGAAAATACGTGATTAATGCCAATTTAAACAGGTGTGTCAAATGTTATCTTTAGCAATACGATCATATAGTACACAATTTGGCAGGTTAACTGCCACCGAAAGCAGGGGAGAAACTGCCTGCCATTAAACAATTAACAGGCTTAACTGGAAAATATGAGGCAAAAACAAATGCCTACTATCATGTGTGAATGAAGCAGGCAGTTTCATTTATATCATTTATCTCTCGATCGCACTAAAAACGGGTCTTTATACAACCAGGAGTGTGCTGTCGGCAAAGGGAAACTAGGAGGTTCTTACTCAACAAATAGACGAAGCTTGTTACTTCTTTGACTGGTTTTAATTGTTACGAATTGTTGGTTACAATTTTAGCACTCGATAACGCTGTGGCAATCCTTTTTATAATGACCAGAGTGACTCAAACACTTTGAAACTCATATCAATGCTTGAGTAGGTCTTGTAATTGGCTACGAGAAACTCATTAGCATTGAACCTTCCAGTTATTTACTTTGTCAAATCGATTTTCTTTCTTAAATTTCACCTTCAAACTTGGGTTGTCCAGTCAATATAAAACCATGGAAAGCAAAGAGAGAGAACAAAGAATTGGTTTCTAAACAAAATTTAAATAATATCATACAGTAACCCCTGAAGAGCATCCCCTTTTTGTATAGCCCTCGCGAATGAAACCGGACGAAGGACTTTTTTGGAAGTCTATAACCTCTGTTGCTTACAATTTCATCGCTTAAATCAGTACATGTACATACCAGGATTGTATTCTTATGAAGTTATCATTATAATTATTACCATTGTTATTTTTAAATTCTTCACTAGTGTAGAGCTGTTAGTTTATTCTAATGTGTTCAAAACGCCCATTTCAAAACGTATGTTGAATTTGTGTCAAATAGGTAGTAAAAATGCAACGACAAGAACATCTTTTAAATAAATGTGGTTCTTAGCCCCACGAGAAAGTGTAACTTGGCAACCGGTCAAGAGTGATCCGGCAGGGAGTCTTTCAATCAAGAGCGCAGGAATTTTTTTTTGTTTTTTAACTACGAACACTAGCAATTTATCGCCATTGTAGTTCTTTGTTTTCTCAGTAAACTGTTTGAAGCAGTTCCAAGGCTGGATCGATCCATTCCCCACTCTCGAGTTTTATGCTCGCTGCGCTCCTTCTGTACAACGCAATATTCACCGCGGCAATCAGTTAAGATTCAAACTTTTCAAACCTTGAGAAGCCTGAAAACAATAGTTGTTATTAAGGTGTTTCGATACAGTTTTTCAGAGGCCATACCAGTATTTTTCAATCACCTTAAAAGTGATTTTTTCCTTGTCCGATCGCTATAAAATTTTCCCCAGTAATCGGGTATGGATTGAAATGTGTGTAAAATCGATATTAACATGACAACAATAAAATTGATAAAAGCCGAATTTTGTGTGATCTAGACCAGCTACTGAAAATCCAACACTAGGAACTTAAAGTTTGGTGTTTAGCAAACAATCTCCGCACTATAATGCGCACTATACATATATACCTCCATGACTAGTACATTTTAGTTTAAATTTATCGCATCTTTTAAATGTAAAACATTGACAATACTCACACTGAAATTTACTAGTCATGGATATATGTACTGTCCACATTAATTTGGAAAAATTAGCACAACGTCAAAACAGTGAATGTTGTAGCGCGGATTTTTGGCCGGTTAGTAGGATAGGTTTGTCTTGAAATTTCAAGGTGTTGCAGTGAATCAATCTCAATGAAAGTTTCTGTGAGGCATTATTATATGCAGTATGAAGATTATGTGACGCGATTTTAAAAAAATTCGTTCGAGTCGAAAAAAGTCGTTTCAGAGATATACAAGAAAGTGCTAAAAGTCCAAATTTTGAATGAAGTTACACTTAGACAGGTGGTGAGAAAACGGGTTAGTTTTAAAGATACCAAGATCGAAAATACAACAAAATTTCCTAGCTTCGAAATATGATATTAAGTAGGATTATGACGCCACTTAAGAATAATTTGAGTCATTTATAACGTTTATATTAACGTTTATTATTATGAATGCTATTTTAAAGCCATTTGGATAACCAATTAAAGTGGACATTTTAAACTGGTGTGATAGATATTATTTGCATGTAGAAATACGCCCTTTACGTACTTAAACACAGGTGAACAAAATTTATAAAGCGACAAAATGTCTATAGAAACATTTTAAAGGGGCATTATCATTTAATTGATTTTGTGTAAAAGACAGCACCTTGCCTCTTCAACTTCCTGTTTAACTTTTAGGATTGTATTTTTTGCAGTGGGCGAACGGCGTACGTGCCACGGGAAAATGCAGTTTTTTCTTTATTTCTTATATGACGACGCAAAAATTCTGCCAAAACTTGGGGTGGTGCTAAAATTTCAACAGAGGTTTATAATCGTCCCTTTTATTCGTTTCCTTTTTACGGCAGAGCCTCTTCCTTAAACGTAGCTGTTCTGCAGTTAAATTAACAGTTGTTAGTTGTATAGTTGTACGTTGCCCGCTTGCGCCCCCAATAACGTATCTAATGGTCCGTCCCTGAGTTTTATTTGCCACCCAACCTGTTTACAATACGTGGCCTATGCTGTCACATTTCGCAGTGATGGAAGACTTCGACTGAATACATTTTATTAATCCTCAGTTAAGTACGCTAACGGCAGTCGTAGTGTTTTTTTTATTCGAGAGTGTTCCACGTACCTTGTAAAGCTTAACATATTCAATCAAAAGCACATTTGTGCGACTTAGCCTGTACAAAGGAACATTCAAGTTCAGGAGTATTCTAAGAACTTTTCGATAATTATTACTAAAAAAGTGATAGTCATGATACATGTATTCACGCGAGTGTTCCACAAACCTCTAACTCTTAACATCTTCAGCCAAAAGCACATTTTTGCGACCTACGACTGTGCAAAAGAACAATTTATGAGTCTTTGAAGAGCTTTTTGGTAATTACTGCTAAACATAAAACAGATCACGGGGGTTGATAGGACAGTACATGTTAGCCATAAAAAGGGTGACTACGTCGTATATCCAGAAACTACACGAGAAAGACGAGGACCTGTCCTTATACTCTATGATTAAAACGGTAGTAGCGCACGGTAACAAGCAAAACACAAACACTGTTACGATGGCAATGGACATTTGAAGCACGTTTCTGTCTCTTCTGTTCCGCTGTTGTCGAGCGTTGGCTGACTGTTCACCTGGGTGTGCCTGTGTCTTAAGCTTGATAAGGATGATGGAGTTAAGAAGAACTAACAAAATCACGGGGATGTATGTAAACAAAAGGAGGATTGCTAGAATGAAACTGGCATAGGACGATGACTCTCTGAATACTTTTTCCCATTTCGCAACACACCAGGTTCCCTTTGGGCATTCGACGATCTTGTTGGCGAATAAGTATGGCGAACTGACAGCTACGGTAACTATCCACGTGGTGAGAATGAAGGAGGGACACAGCTTGGATCTGATGAGTGGGGAACGGAGTGGGAACACCTCGGCTCCAAATCGATCCACTGCTATCAGAATCAGATTCTGAATCCAAACCTCCAAGGAAACGTCTCGAAAGAAAGGGACAAGCTTGCACAAGGCCTGGCCAGAATACAGTCAGGTGGCTATATTAAGAAATCGATTGAAAAGATAGTAGGGCCTTTTTTCACTAGCGAAAAATTGTTTATTTAAACAAATTTTCTCTCATCATTGACGCCTAACAAATGCGAACGGTTTGTCGCGCTTTTCCTAATTTTTGTCTTATGGGGGGCAATCTTTAAAGGCGCCGCGGACAAAATTTGCCCCTGGCAAAAACTAGACAAAATGGATTAAGTATAACAAAATGCGTTTTTCTTGTCAATCATTTGTTGTAAAGCCATTAGTCTTTCCATTAAAGGAAAATGTGAGGCAAAAATAAATGCCTGTTATCATGTGTGCATAAAATAGGCAGTTTTTATATCATTTACCTCTCGATCGAGCTAAAAATGGATAATTATAGAACCAAGAGTCTGCTGTCGGCAAAGGGAAACTAGCAGGTTCTTTCTCAACAAAAGAGACGAGGCTCGTTACTTCTTTGACTCCGTTAATTGTTACTATAGCCGCCGGAAATCAACATAATCATCTGGAGTTCATTTTTCCTATAAAAGCTTTTTCTTTTCAGTCGAGAACTAGCATACGTGCGCATAAACATAGCTTCTAATACTTGAAATGGTTATACTGCTGAAAATCAACAGGAGAGACATGTTTTCAACGAGACAGCATTCCTATTTTGGTGTCACGCACTATGAAAACTCGGAAGTTCAAATTGCTGTATTTTCGAAATGAAACATGCTAGGGGAATGGAAACTTGTGCAAAGATTTATTTTTTGTTTGTCTTCAACCTAGTGTATATAAGAATTCGTAAAACCTCGCTATTTTGACATTACAATTTGATGACGTGACTGTGAAAACCATCTATAAGCCATTGTCGTTGTATTTAGAAATCGATTAAAAAGATGTTTGGAAACCAATATGGGTGCCGAACATTTTCAACTGGTGTGATACATAATATTTGCATGTGGAAATACGCCCGTTATGTATGTAAACATAGTTGATCAAAATTCATCACGCAAAAAATTAAAATGTCTATCAAAAGGTATGAAACGGGCAATGTCATTTAATTTATTTTGTAGAAAAGACACACCTTGCCGCTTAACTCCTGTTTTACTTCTTGGTACATGTATCAGTTTTGCCCAATGGGCGAACGGCGTACGTGCCACAAAAGCATAGAGTTTTTTCTTTGCTTCTTTTGACGACACAAAAATGCTGTCAAACCTTGGAGTGGCGCTAAAATTTCAACAGCCAGATGTTCGTAATTGTCCGTTTTATTCGTTTCTTTTTTTTCGGGAGATCCTCTTTCTTTAACTTTGGAGCGGTTCTTCATTAATTAACAGTTGTTAATTGTGCAGTTGTATAATATCGCCTTCTACGCTCCCAGTAACTTTTCTAATGGTCCGTCCCTCAGATTTATTTACCACCCAACCTTTTACAATACGCGGCCTATGTTGTCACTTTTCGCAGTCATGGCAGACTTAAAATGAACACATTTTATTAATGCTTTGTTAAGTACGCCAAAGGCAATCGTGGTAATTTTTTTTATTAAAGAGTGTTTCACGTACCTCTAAATCTTAACATATTTAATCAAAAGCACATTATTGTCTGTGACTTACGTCCGTTCAAAAGAACAGTTCATGAGTCTTTTAAGTTAGACTTTTTCGATAATTTTTACTACTAAAAATACACTGAAAGTCATGACACATTTATTCACGCGTGTTCTACAAACCTCTGACTCTTAACATCTTCAACCAAAGCACATTTTGCGACCTACGCCTGTGCAGAAGAACATTTTATAAGTCTTTTAAGAGCTTGTCGGTAATTACTGCTAAAAATGAAACAGATAATCGGGTTGATAGCTTAGTATGCGTTAGACATATCAAAGGTGACAATGAAGTATAGCGAGAAACTACACGACAAATGCGTGGACCTGTCCTTATACGCTACGATTAAAACGTTGATAGAGAGTGGTAACCAGCAAAATTCAAACACTGTTACGATAGCAATGGACATTTGAAGCACGTTTCTGTTTCTTCTTTTCCGCTGTTGCTGAGTGTTGGCGGACTGTTCACCTGGGTGTGCCTGTGTCTTGAGCTTCGTAATGATGATGGAGTAAACAATAGCTAACAACAGCACAGGGATGTATATCTACAGAATTTGGTGAGCTAGTACGATACTGGCATAGGACATTGATTCTCCGAATACTTTCTCCCATTCAATAACACACATGGTTCTCTCTGGGGATTCAACGATATCGCCGGCGATCAAATATGGCGAAGAGATAGCTACGGCCACTATCCACGTGGCAAGAATGAAGAAGGGACTTAGTTTGGATCTGATGAGTGGCGAACGGAGTGGAAACACCACTGCCCCAAATCGATCCACCGCAATCAGAATCAGATTCTGTATCGAAACGAAAAGGGAAACGTTACCAAAGAAATAGACAAGCTTACACAAGGCCTGGCCAAGCTGACCACCAATAAGCAACGAGTTGGTGTACACGAGTGACAGTTTGAAAGGCATTTAGAATATTGCAGACAGAATATCAGAAAAGGCCATGTATGCAGTGAAATAATTTATCGGTTTTTTTAAGTTCGGCATTTTATAAACGATCACAACGATGAGCGAATTTGCGACCAGTGAAACGATAATGAACAGACAGTGAGTAACGGTTACTCCGATTTTTGACGCAGTGGGATGAAACAAAGCGGAGCAGCTCCAAGACCCGCTGGATCCGTTCACCGTTGAGTTCATGCTTAGGTTGCCGACGTATCTGTGGAATTGTACGTATGCAGTCAAGAAACTTTGAATTACTGCTCTGTATATTGCGTATCCTGTTTGATTCAAAACTTTTATTGGCAATTGTAAGCCCCTTGCGAAGCCTCAGCACAACTGCTTAAAGTGAGTTTGTATAATTGTGTCAGTTATCAACTGACTTTAAGCCAACCAGAGTATTAAGAAATCGATGCAAAAGATAGGCCTTTTTTTCATTAGCGAAAAAGTTGTTTATTAATTGAGACAAATTTTCTGTCATCATTAAAGCAAAACAAATGATGCGGATGGTTTGTTGCGCTTTTTTTAGAACTTTGTCTTTTTCTAAAAACGGAAACATTTTAATACAGAAAGTCTAGAATCTGGGAAATGAAAGAAGATAAATATACAAAAAGCCTTGCCAAGAATCAGGTCTATGCAACAGTTCATATGCGAGATATTCGGAAAAACGTTTTACCCAAATTTATAAAGCTTTGTATGGAGACGCCATGTTTGTGTCCCTTTCAGGGGCACAAATATGGCCGCCGGAAACCAACAGAAACATCTGTTTTTGAGTTTTCCTACTTGCGTGAACTCTTCGCTTGAGGGACTCATAAAGATTAAAGTAATATTTATTCTAAGATAAGGAATGTTTAGATAGCAAACTTTCCAAAAATCGGTAATGTTTTTAACCCACATAAGAGCTTTCCCGGCCGCCAGCTAAATGACGCGTCACGCAAAAGCCTGGAAATTCAAGCGTCCTGTATCGCAAAAAAAAGAACCCTTTTGAACCGAAAATTTGTCTGTATGAAGGTTTTAAGATGCTCTAATATCACACGAAAGTAGAAACTCAGAAGAAGCTGTAGTTTCTTAGGTTGAATTATGGTGACGTCATGTGAAAACCGAGAACAGAAGTTAAAAAAATATCACCCAAAAAAGTTTGTTTTAGTTGTTTCAACGGAAATGCCTAATTTGTCTGCTAATGCAGATAAGCCCATAACTGGAAATGTGCTTAAGTGCCAATTTAAAAATACGCATATACAATCATAACCTACACTATGTTTTTAACCCACATAAGAGCTTTCTCGGCGGCCAGCTAAATGACGCGTCACGCAAAAACCTGGAAATTCAAGCGTCCTGCATCGCAAAAAAAAGAACCCTTTTGAACCGAAAATTTGTTTGTATGAAGGTTTTAAGGTGCTCTAATATCACACGAAAGTAGAAACTCAGAAGAAGCTATAGTTTCTTAGTTTGAATTATGGTGACGTCATGTGAAAACCGAGAATAGAAGTTAAAAAATATCACCCAAAAATGTCTGTTTTAGATGTGTAAAAGGAAATGCCTAATTTGTCTGCTAATGCAGATAAGCCCATAACTGGAAATGTGCTTAAGTGCCAATTTAAAAATACGCATATACAATCATAACCTACACTATTTAGCAGTTAAATCCAGGAAGCAGGGGCGTAGCTGCCTTTAAGAAGTTAAGCCCAGGCTAAACAGGAAGTGTAAGGAAAAACCATAAATGCATGTTATCACGTATGCATAAAATATGCGGTTTTTATATCAGTTACTTCTCGATCGAACTTAAAAGAGGAAGTTCTAAAACAAACGTTCTTCCTTTAACAAAAAGGCAAGGTGTGTTTTTAATTGTTACAACCTTCAGTATTTGTTGGCTACAATTCTTTATCTCGATAATGTTGGGGCATTTTTTTTTCTTAACAATGACCAGAAAACCCACCGGCCTAACTCATATCAACAATGCAACTATTAACCGTCATGACGTCATCCCCAACAGAGTTTCGCAACCGTTGATAGGGTGCGTCTTGATCTCGCATGCCACTCGTTTAGCACCGAAGTCAAAGGATTTCTACCACAGAACTTTCAACCGCGGCAGTGTTTGCTCAGTTGGTTAAGCGTGTGACTTCAAAGCGGGAGGTCGTGGGTTCGTCTCATTCCCGGGGCCGGACCAATACTCAGGGTCTTAAAATAACTGAGAAATGAAGGTACTACCTTTGTACTGCAAGCGGCTAGACCTTCGCGTGGCTCGGATGACCACGTAAAATGGCGGTCCCGTCTCCAGTAAGAGACGTAAAAAATAGTGTCCCCAATTAGTACTTTAGTACTAAATACATTGACACTCAAATAGAGTGCATTTTTTTTTCACATTCTAACCAATCGGGGAATCTTGTTTACTGCATATCCTGCCGCCGATTCCCAGTTCTTTACATTGGTGAAACTGATCGAAACCTCTGGAGTCGTTTTAGCGAACGTTTGCGAAGTATACGCATGCGCAACAACACTCCTGAGCTTCCTGTGGCGCAAAATTTTAACTCCACGGGCCGGGGATGGCTCTATGCTGTGGAGCCGACATCCAACCGAAGCAGCGTGAATTGAGGGTTTTCTTGCAGCTAGGAACCATTCAAACCTAAAGGACTAAATATCAATTTCAGCTGCGCTCGCTATAATTTACACGTGCTCGCGCCTCATTTTTATGTCTATGACAATTGCCAGGAGGCGTAATAATAACGGTTTTCTTGATACTGAAGAAGCTAGAGTTATATACCCGAAACGCCTGTTTCCTAAAAACATTTGACACTTTTTGACTTTTCAATGGAATATTATCCTATCCGCGACCCGTAAACCGGCTAGATGAGATGTATTAGTTTTCACAGTTATATCCCGGTGGTTGTTAATGGACGACGCTATTTGCAGTAATGAAAATATTGCTATGTCATAAATTATGACTTAGATTGGACGCAGTTTGCAGGTGCATGGCTCTTTGTTGGCCCCTGGCTGTTCAAAACCGTTTTAACTGTTTACCGACAAATTATCTGCCTTCCTTTTCCTATACACGAGTAACAATGATGTCGACAATACAGTCAAACCTCTTTAATACGGACGCCAAAGGGACAGAACCAAGTGTCCGCTTTACAGAGGTGTCCGTATTATAGAGGTAGGGAATGTAGGATTTTTGGCATTTCTGGGACCAAACAAACTGTCCGTAATAGAGAGGTGTCCGTAAGGAGAGGTTCGACTGTATATTATTTCGACTGTTCTTAATTTACATGTGATCAAAAGAACTTTGCACTGGAAGACCTAATTTTGCTATTTACATGTTTTGAATATAAGGATAATAATTTGCTAGAAACAAGTTTACACTGGAACATAGAACGCACTTGATACGTTAGAAAATCAATATTCTTAATCCTAAAGATAATAGATTACTATAACTTTAGCTCCTACATTATTACGTAAATCGGACATCAGACTGTTCTAGACAAGAATTTCAGATTATTTTTCTAAGTGGGGTCGAGCAACGTGAACCTAGGAGGTAAGGGACACTCATCTTATTAATTAATATTACTTTCCAGGATAGTATAAACTTTTGTGCGGTAAACGAGTAGTTAATGAATAGCGAAATTGGTTGAGGATTTTCTCCAAAAAATGTTTTTACGTTATGTGTGTAAAATTGGCAGGATTGACCAGAATTTCCAAGATAAGGTATCTGTGAAAA